TAGGGAAGGAGACTGCCATCCTTACCTGGTCTGACCTACATGTGACTCCAGACACACAGCAATGTGGTTGACTCTTAACTGCTCTCTGGGCAATTAGGGATGGGCAATAAATGCTGCCTAGGCAGTGACACCCACATCTTGTGAACCTAAAGGACATTTAAGGTGAGCGCCAGAGGTCCTGATGGAATGTGAGTAATTTTTTTATTAACCCAGAAGGTGATGGGAATCTGGAACTCACTGGTTGCAGGGCTGGTAGAGGCAGAAGCCCTCATAACATTGATGAAGTATTTAAATGTGCAGTTCTACATCCCAGAGCTCTTAAGGAAGTGGCTCCAGAAATAGTGCATGCATCGGTGGTCATCTTCCAAGATTCATTAAACTCTGGTACAATTCCTAAAGATTGCAGAGTAACTAATGTAACCCCACTATTTTAAGAAGGGAGGTGAAGAGAAAGGAGAATTATAGACCAGTGAGTCTGATATTGGTGGTGGAGAAGACGCTTGAGTCCATTACTAATCATTTTATAGCACAACACGTAGAAAACAGTGGTAAGATCAGCACCAGTCAACGTTGATTTTTAAAAAGGGAAATCATGCTTGATAAATCTACTGGAATTCTTCAAGGATGTAAGTAGTAGAGTTGATTGGGGGAGCCAGTAGATGTCGTTTATTTGGACTTTCAGAAGGCATTCAACAAAAGTTCCACATAAAAGATTGATGTGTTAAATTGCATGGGATTAGGTAGCGTATTGAGATGGATAAAAAAAATTGGTTAGGAAATGGGAAACAGAGTAGGAACAAATGGGTCTTTTTCAGAATGGCAGGCAGTGACTAGTGGGGTACTACAGGGATTGGTACTAGGACAGCAGCTATTCACAATATAGGTTGATGATTTAGATAAGGGAACTGAATGTAACATCTCAAAATTTCTGGATGACACAAGGGTGGAAGTGTGAGCTGTGAGGTGGATTCAAAGATGTTACAGTGTGATCTGGACAGGCTGAGTGACTTCCCAATGTGGGGAAGCCCAGAATTAGTGGTCATAGTTTCAGGATAAGGGGCAAACCTTTTAGTGCTGAGATGAGGAGATTTTGTTTTTACCCAGAGAGTGGAATTTGCTGCCTCAGAAAATGGTTGAAGCCAAAACATTATCTGTTTACAAGAAGGAGAAAGTAAAACTCTCTTGCCAAAATGGATCAAGGGATATGGGGGAGGGTGGGATTAGGCTATTGAGCTCAATGATCAGCCATGATCATATTGAATGGTTGTAGGCTCAAGGGGTCCAATGGCCTCCTCCTGCTCTGAGTTCCTCTGTTTCTATGATGTGATGCCAAAGCATACAAGATTATGAGCCAAGTGCAGGAAAATGGGATTCAAATAGTTAAATGTTTATTTTTGAGAGCTGCAGACTCCATGGGCCCAGACCTCTATGACTCCAATAACTAAAGCCATGTTGATAGAGTTTATTTAAATTTTTTAAAGCATAAAAGGATCTGAAAGCAAATTTTAGTCGCCCTTCTATTTCTTCAATACATTTAAAGCTTTGCAATCACAAGCCACCTCTAATCTCTCCAAAGAAGTTTTCTCTCCCCACCTCTCAGATTACAACATAAAACCAGGCTGACAAGAATCCAATATTTTACACATAATAATGTCTGCCAACTCAAAACAACCGGAAAATCGACAAAAAACACAGCGCGAATTGTAGATTATACAATGAAAGTAATTCTATCATTGGTTTAAACAGACACTGGGTTAGATGTGTAACATTAAAGATATTGAAAAGTCCAGTTGCTGGCGAACAACCAACCTCCCTGCCCGTAAACAAAGTGATCAGAAGCTCTGAACATACCTTATTTATATGTTATTTAACATTCGGGACGATGAAAAGGAAGATTAGCAGCCGTGTTTGATCCACACTGATATACTGAAGCCTATTTGATCTATTTTTGCATCTTATACTCACGAACTTGTAATAGAGACTGTGTACACACGCTCTGGGAGTTATCATATAGAAAGTTGGGCAAAGTCAAGCGGATGGAAGAAGGATCAAGTTTCAGAGTCCACCCCCCCCCCCCCCCCCCCCCCCGCGGCCACCAGAATCCAGGTTCAGAACCGAAGATGCCTTCATAATTTAGATCGAGCAACAGTTGATGATTATTACTATTCCTTCTAAAATAAAACAAAGAACTGCGATGCTGGAAATCTGAAGAAGGGCCACTGGAGCCGAAACTTGGACTCTGCTTTGTCTCCACAGACCTGTCAGTTTCTCCAGCTATTTCTGTTTTTCTTACTATTCTCAGGTCGCTCTCCTCCCAGTCTATGTGAGTAGTCACCTTTCAAGCACGTTAGTTGAGAAGTCAGGAGATTGACAACACCTGGAGACCTGACAAATATTTCTTCCTTTGCTTCAGAAAGGTGTTATTCATATAGCCCGCGTCCAGATGGATGGGTGTCTGTCATCTTGTGACTTACCTTACCGAACGGATACCTTGATATTTGGCACCAAAAAGACGAATGTGTTCTCTGGTGTAGCCCACATTACAAATACTTGGAGATTTCACATCCTCGCATTGCATGTTTAAAATCTCTGGAAGGGACGCTGTTGTGGAACCTTGTAAAAGTAATGTTTTGGAGATGTGTTAGCATCCCACCCAGAAAGCTCTGGCACCAATGTTGTGCTCGAGTTCGATGCAATCTTCCAGCACCTTGCTAGACTGGAGAGAGGGTTCTTGTGCTAATATACTTCTGGACCACGTGGGGCTTGAACCTGGTCTCCTGCTCCAGAGGTGTGTACTAACTTCGATGAAAAGGTTGATTAGAAAATATCTTTAAAAGCTAGGCAAAGAGTCCATAACCTGTTTGACAGGGCAGTGCATATTTAGATAAACAATTAGGTCAAAACCTCTAATAGGGTCATAGAGATGTGCTGTGGAAACAAACCCTTCGCTCCAACTCATCCATGCCCACCAGATATCCCAAATTAATTTAGTCCTATTTGCCAATATTTGGCCCATATCTGTCTAAACCCTTCCCATTCATGTACCCATCCAGATGCCTTTTAAATGTTCTAATTGTACCAGCCTCCATCACTTCCTCTGGCAGCTCATTCCATACATGTACCCTCTGCATGAGAAAGTTGCCAGTTAAGTCCCTTTTAAATCCTTCCCCACTGACCCTAAACCTATGCCCTCCAGTTTTGGAATCCCCAATGTTGGGAAAAAGCATATTCACCCTATTCATGTCCCTTGTGATTTAATAAATTTCGATGAGGTTCCCCCCTCTGCCTCCAATGCTCCAGGGAAAATAGCCCCAGCCTATTCAGCCTCTCCCTATAGCTCAAACACTCCAATCCAAGCAACATCCTTGTAAATCCTTTCTGCACCCTTTTGTGTTTAACAACATCTTTCCTACAGCAGGAAGACCAGAATTGCACACAGTATTCCAAAAGTAGCCTAACTAATGTCCTGTGCAGCTGTAATGTGACATTTCAACTCCTATACTCAATGCACTGACCAAAAAGGCAAGTGCATCAAATGCCTTCTTCACCACCCAGTCTTCCTGTGATTCCACCTTCGAGGAACTTTGTTTTCATGTGTCCTCTTGTGTTGCTCTCTGTTTCTTCAAGAATCTGAACATCCATTTTTGTTTCTTGAGTAACTTTTCAAGAAGTTTCTCTTTTGAGCTGGAAGTGCACTTGACACTGAAATGTTTAGGTGTTTGGTATTGAAGAGGAGCATTTGATTTAGAGATAGTAGGAACTGCAGATGCTGGAGAATCCGAGACAACAAGGTGCAGGGCTGGATGAACACAGCAGGCCAAGCAGCATCATAGGAGCAGAGAGGCTGACGATTTGATTTGTTTGTTTTGCCCTCTTTGCAGGAATTCCATTTAATCATAAATGTGATTCCTTGGAGATGACATTAGCTATGATCTAAGATCTTATTGGCTAAGACAAGTCCTTTTATATATAAGGACTTCCCGCCTCCTCTAAAAATCAGTGCAATCCTCTACATCTCCTTGGACCCAATTTCTGTTTCTATATTTGTTCTGTTGTCATTTCACTTTGCCTGGTGCCTTTGTCACAATTTAATCATTCTCACTCTCATCATGGGCTGTTCCTTTTCAGTTCTGCACTGATGTTGTGATTTACAGGGATGTTGCCAGGATGGCAGGTTTTGAGCTTTAGGCAAAAGCTAAATAGGCTGGGGCTATTGTCCCTGGAGCATTGGAGGCTGAGGGGTGACCTTATAGAGGTTTATCAAATCAAGAGGAGCATTGAGAGAGTGAATAGTCAAGGCCATTTCCCCAGGGTAGGAGAGTCCAGAACTACAGGGCATAGGTTTAAGGTGAGAGGGGAAAGATTTAAAAAGCGCCTAAGGGACAACCTTTTCAGCAGATGGTGGTGAGTATATGGAATGAGCTGACAGAGGAAGTGGTGGAGGCTGGTACAATTACAACATTTAAAAGGCATCTGGATGGGTATATAAATAGGAAAGGTTTAGAGGGATATGGGCCAAATGCTGGCAAATGGGACTAGACTAATTTAGGATATCTGGTTAGCATGGATGCATTAGACCGAAAGGTCTGTTTCCATACTGTACAACTCTTTGACTACGTCCATGACTCTAGAGACTGTTATCACACACCATCCAGATTGAGGAATACATATATTGTGGTGCCACCATTCTCGCTGGGTCAAAATATTGGAACTCATTCCCTAACAGTAGTCTGGGTGTTACTTATACACCCCATGGACTGTAAGGTTTTATTTCCGTGACTGCCCGTCGCCTTCTCAAGGAGCCTTGGTTACGATGGAACTGTCTGGGTGACTGAAGGAGCCGAATCAATGCAATTTCTGTTGGAAGACCGTTTCTTTTTCTGAGTCAGTTTCACACGAGGAACCACAATTCCCAGAGGTCTTTGCGCATTTTGGGTGTAGGTGCCTTTACTTCCTGCTTCAGTAGTTTATCGCCAAAGTAGCAGGAAGTGTTGTAGACGACTGGAATAAAGTGCATTCACTTGAGGGTTTCACTGTATTTCTTTCTGTGCGCACCGCCACATTATCCCAGACAGAAAGGGCACAGCTATTAGAGATGAGGGCACTCCTGCTTTATAACCGAGAGTCTGACTGTTGACGTGCAGCAGTGAGAACACAACTCCTTCAAATTTCTTTTGAAGCCAGAAGTTTGAAATCTCAACGTTGCACTTTTTTTTTAAAAAAAGAAAATGTCTGTTTAGAAAGGCGTTGGATCGAGGTCATCTTTAGATAGTTGAGCGGGGACGTGTTTTGTTGGCTAGGTGTTGGCTGGATTCTGCCCGGGGAGTGGGTGGACAGCGAGAGGAGCGGACGGCTGTCACCCAGGCTCCGGTATTGTTCAATGACAGCAAAGGCGCCGCTGGGAGACAGGACTTGCTGCAATGGCAGAGTCCACGCAGGTCACGCCGATAAACATCAACAGCCTGAAGGAACACACGCTGAAGAAAATAAGCGATCTTCTGGACAAGACCAACAACCGGGGATGGAGGAAACTGGCGGAGATTGTGGGAGCTGACAAGCGTTTCAGACTCACGTAAGTATGTGTATAAGAGTACGTGTATATCGCTCCCCGTTTTATAAACCAACGTCCCGCCCCAAACATAAGTAAATCGTTCACTTTTAGCGGCGTTAAATTGGGTTCTCATTATCACATTTTCTTTATCATTCTGAAGTTGGTCGTATCCATTCAGACTTACAAGATAATCAACTGTGGTGTGCATCACAGCCAAATCATATACTGACTTCTCGAGTGCAGTTTCCAGTCAATGTTTTACAGGAGCAAGAAGCCTGATTGTTTTCACCTTTCCCCATAGTCTGGAAGCTACTCGTAGATATTCAAAGTATTAGAGATGTTATTATACAGTCCAAACATGTGCAGGTTAGGTGGATTGGCCATGCTAAATTGTCCATAATGCCCAGGGATGTGCAGGTGAGATGCATTAGCCATGGGAAATGCGGGGTTACAGGGATAGGGGAGGGACTCGGGTCTGCGTGGGATGCTCTTCCGCGGGTCGGTGTGGACTTGTTGGGCCGAATGGCCTGTTTCCACACTAAGAATTCTATGGATACTTCTGGAGCAGGCAAAACTTGAACCCAGGCCTCCTACATCAGAGGTAGGGACACAACAACTATGTCGCGGGAGCCACTTACCAATGCTTTATTTTGGTAAACTGCCTAGGTTTGTGTCTTAAGCTGTATCTGTGACCGTTCTTGAAGATCCTCAAAGCCTTAAACTGAGTTTTAAACTTTCAGATTTGATGAAGTAGCATATGCCCTAAAAGAGACAAAGAGTACCCTCTTTATTGGGAAAAGAGAAACTATTCAGGAATAACTTTCTCACCTTGTTTAAGAGTTTTCAAGGTGATGATGTCTGTTTACCCATCAGCTGATTAATTGGGGGCAGGAAGAGCCCAGCAGATACCAGGTTTGTAACCTGGGACCCTCATGGGGAAATAATGCACTATGAGATGTTGTCATTGGATGAGATGTGAAAGTGAAATCCTTCTGCTCCCTTGGAGGACATAAAGTATCCTGTGTCACTATCTTGAAGAATAGATGAGTCACCTCTGGTGTCCTGGCCAATATTTATCCCTAAATGTAACAAAAACTGATTACCTAGTCTTTATCAACATGCTGTTTGTGGGAACTTGTTGTTCGCATAGCAGTTGATGTGATTTTTAGATTGTTTGACATTTTCTAATCCCATAGAAACACATCTGTATCAAAATTAATTAAAAAAGAAGAAAGAACTATGGGTCCTGGAGATCTGAAACAAACAAAAACAGAAATTTCTGGAGAAATACAGCATGTCTTGCAGCATCTGTGGAGAGAAAGCAGAATTAATATTTCAATACTGTTCTGAAGAAGGGTCACTGGACTCAAAACATTAGCTTTCTGTTCTCTCCACAGATGGTGCCAGATCTGCTGAGTTTCTCTTGCAATTTCTGCTTTTATTTGTTTCAAAAAATCAGACTTTGACTTTTCAGATATTTGTGATATGATAACATAGACACAATCTGTAAGTCGTTGGAATCTGGATATTAAAGCACTTGGGTATCTTGCCTCTTATTGTGGGTTAATGCCCAGAGAACTAATAATATCAGATGAAATTTGTGAATAATTAGAAAAAACATGGCAAATCAGTAAGAGACAGGATGGTTTTCCAAAGAGATTTAGATAATTGATACAATGAGGGCCATTTGATCTGGGTTTTGCATCAAGATTTTGTGATCTTGAAGGCACTGACTGCAATGGTGATTGGAGTAAACTGAATACAAATAACTTTCAAAAGGGAATTGGATAATTATTTGAAGAAGGAAAAACAAATTAACAGCTCTGGGGAAAGGGTAGGGGTATATGGACCAACTGAATTACTCTTTCAAAGAACCAGTACAGGTATGATAGACTAAAGGGCTTATTCTGTGCTGTATCATTCAATGAGGACCAGCTGTGCTTGTTTAAGTTAACTGACTGCTGTAAGGCAATCATAAATCATAAAATGGATGTCATGGTTGCTGTCTGTACAAACTTTCAACAGGTGTTTCATAAAATGGCTCAGAATAAACTTATGATAAAAATTAAGGTGCATGATTTTGTTAGGGTTCTAACCAGAGAGATCACTCGGGAGCAGAATGCAAAGAGTAGAAGTGATCAAATGCTTTTAGATTAGGGTAGTTATATGTGCCAAGAATCTATGCTGGAACCTCTTTTGCTTTACGCGTCATTGGTCTGAAGCGGACAAATATCAAAGATTCATTTCAGCAAATTGGTTAAAAGTTGACAAACTGTGAGGAAGAATAAAAATGTTTACAAAGAAAGTAAACAGTTTACTGGAATTGGCAGATGATTAAATATAATTCAATGCAGAGAAAGGTACAGTAATATCTCTTGAGAAAACCAATATGTAAGATCATAGCATACAAAAGTGGAAAAAAAAGTAATGCTACTTCGATACAATGATTCAATAACAATGAGGATAGATTTATCCAGAAAATCAAAGGGGAATCTTTGCAAAAAATTCGTTGCGCAAATAGCATCCCTTTAATGTTTCCCTTTATCATGGAAAATAAATCTGGAATTATAAATGTAGCGAATTTCTATTCGTATCAATGTACATTTTCACAAGTTAGTTTTTTAACTATATTTCTTTGATGTGGGTGCTGCTGGCATGACCAGAATTTATTCCTTAATTGCCCTGGAGAAGGTGGTAAGTTGCATTCTTAAACCACTGTGGTCTTTAAGGAATAGAGGCACCCTCAGTATTGTCAGGGAGGGAATTCTTGGATTTTAAATTTGAGACAATAAAGACAAAACAATACAGTTCAAAGTCAGATGGTGTGTGACTTGGAGGGGAACTTTTGCCGGTGGTGATATTCCCATGTGTCTGCTACTCTCGTCCTTCTGGCTGTTAGAGGTTGCAATTTTGTAAGGTGCTCTCAAAGGACCCTTGGTGAGTTACTGCACTTGCTGCATCTTGTTGATGATATACACTGCCAGTGTGCATCAAAGGTGTGGGGAGTGAATGCTGAAAGTGAATGGGATGCTGTCAGGTAACACTGTTTTGTCCTGAATCATGTCAAACTTCTTGAATGTTATTGAACTTACACTCATCCAGACAAGAGGCAAGTAGATTTAGATGTAAATTTATATTTAGGTTTTATTGTCACGTATACTCAAGTTTGGGGTATGAAAAGTGTACAATGTCGCCTCACATGATGCCATCTTAGGCACAAAGTACCTGGGTACAAAATCTTAGTTACAGAATTAGAAAAATAAAGAAATAAAGTTTAAAAAGTCAAACATTACAGTCCTTTTTTAAGCCATGGGCCTGCAGACGCTCCAAGCTGGGCATTCCCCAAGAGGGTTCGCTCCCCCTTGCACTGGTCTATGACCTGCCTATGCTCACCAGCTGCCTACGCTGCCAACCACCACTGTTGACCTCCATCGAGCACGCCAGGTTTCGCCATCGTTCGCAAGGCTTTGGCCCTGACCGCCACTGCTGTCATCCTTCACGAATGACCACCGCCACTGCCATCTTCTGCCACCGCCGCCTTATCGCTGACTGCTGCTGCCATGATCCAGGCTTGTGCTGGGCCTCAGTCACTGCCACGCTCCCTTGCTGCGTTAGCCATATTGCTGCAGGATCCTATTCTGGGACTGCTCTAGACATCAATGATGCTGCGATGCCGCCGACCACTCCCAGCCACTACCGTCGCCGCCACTGCCTCTATGATCAAACTCTAATGACCAAAGAACTAAAAGAAAAGAAAAAAAAGTGAGAAAAGAAGAAAAAGAGAAAGAAACACCGTCAGAGTGGACAAACTTCAGTGAGTAGCCCTACTGTGCTGCCATCTTGCCTGGAAGTATTCCATTACAATCTGGACTTATGTCTTGTTGATGGCGTTAGCTCCACAGAGCAGCTAGCCTCTGACCTGCTGTTCTAGCCACAGTATTTCTGTGACTGTTCTAGTTCAGTTTCTAGTCTATGGTAACTCCTTGGATGCCGATAGTAGAGGATTCGGTGTTGGTAATGACATAGAATGTCAAGGGCAATGGTTAGATTCTCGCTTTTTGGAGATGGTCATTGTCTGGCACTTTTGTAGGATGAATGTCATTTGGCAGTCATCAGCCCAAGCCTGGATGTTGCTCAGCTCTTGTTGCATTTGGATACAAGCTGCTCAGCATCTGAAGTCACAAATACTAGTGAACATTGCGCAATCATCAGCGAACATTGCGCAATCATCAGCAAACATTGCCACTTTTGATCATGTGATGGAAGGAAGGTTATTGTTGAAGTATCTGAAGATGGTTAGGTCTAAGACACAACCATGTGGAACTCCTGCATGGTGGTGTGGGATTGACATAATTGACATTCAACAATCTCAACCAGCTTCCTTTGTGCTGAGTGTATCTCCAGCCATGTGAATAGATTTCTCCTGATTCCCAATGACTCTAGTTTCAATTAGACTCTTAGAACATAGAACATTACAGCGCAGTACAGGCCCTTCGGCCCTCGATGTTGCGCCTACCTGTGAAACTAATCTGAAGCCCATCTAACCTACACTATTCTATTATAATCCATATGTTTATCCAATGACCATTTAAATGCCCTTAAAGTTGGCGAGTCTACTATTTTTGCAGGCAGGGCATTCCACGCCCTTACTACGCTCTGAGTAAAGAACCTACCTCTGACATCTGTCCTATATCTATCACCCCTCAATTTAAAGCTATGTCCCCTCGTGCTAGCCATCACCATCCGAGGAAAAAGGCTCCCACTGTCCACCCTATCTAATCCTCTGGTCATCTTGTATGTCTCTATCAAGTCACCTCTTAACCTTCTTCTCTCTAATGCAAACAGCCTCAAGACCCTCAGCCTTTCCTCATAAGACCTTCCCTCCATACCTGGCAACATCCTGGTAAATCTCCTCTGCACCCTTTCCAATGCTTCCACATCCTTCCTATAATGCGGTGACCAGAACTGTACGCAATACTCCAAGTGCAGCCGCACCAGAGTTTTGTACAGCTGCGACATGA